GCTATCCTTTCATGATAATGAATGTATGATGTATCATCTACATAATGTGAAGTGTTCCACGGTCCCTGAATTCAGTCCCCCTGCCAGCTGTTTGTTCTCTTCAAAGGTGCTTGACTTTCTCTGTATTTAATTAAAATATTTGGATTTGTTTAGGTATAAGTGTTTTTCATGATATCTTCAATTCCTTTTTTTTTGGAGGGGGAGGCAGGGGAGGTACATGGGGCTTGAGCAGAAAATCAAAATGCATTCTTCATTTCCATCTGCTTTATTCTCTCTTCTTAGTAGCTGAGTAATTATTTGTGTCTGTGAGAATCTAATACAGAGACAGAATCAACTTTTTTCAAACCTTACATGGAAGTTATATTTTGATGATTGCAGATATTAATTCAGGGCACACAGCAAGAGAATTCCTGGATAAAATGCAACTCTTAGATAGCTAACTCTAGTAGCCTAACTACTTATTTTAAATGAAATTAAGAATACAGAAATAATTTCTCAATAAACTGAATAATGTATTTTTTTTTTTGTAAAAGAATATTAATTGTAGTTAAACAGGCTAGAGACTTTGAGAAACTAAATTTAATGTTTGACTGCAAGCTCCTGTGACATGTGAACTGTAGATTTGACACGAAATAGAAGTAATTCGATAAAACAATTACTTTTATTATATTCCAGAAACACTCTCTACAGGATTTGAGCTCAAAACTGGAAATAACTATTTTAAACTTGCAAATTTGTTTTTTTTACTTTGGAGTATGAATGTCCATGAGGAGGGGAAGTTTACACATAATCATGGTGAAACGCATCATTTACCTCTGAAATGGAGTATTAGAAAGGACAGGGTTCTCTGGTGTGAGTCATGCAGCCTGCAATAAACTCCTCCGCAAGTAAGAACTACAACAAACCTTTCTGGTTGCGCTGAGTACAAGGAACTTTATTCGATCTTGCCTTCTTCAACCTCCAGGCAAAGCCATGGACGTCTTTAGGAGATCTAAGCTAGGTCTTTAGAAAAGACTTATTCCTGCACGTGCTTTCCTTCCCTGACAAGAAGCTGAAACAGCCAACGTGTGGAGCCATAATGCACTGAGGCTTACTGCAGTAGGAGAGGATACTCAGAATAATCTATGGGTTAGTACAGTGTAGGAGTACAGAAGATACATCCTTGAAAGGTGAAGGGAAAAGAGAATGCTCAAATGCTCTCTGCTGTGTGCTTTGTTTTCTGTTTTTTTGGTTTTTTTTTTTTTTTTGTTTTTTTTAATTATTATTTTTTTAAGTAATATTACTGCCCTCTGTGTGTTGAGTTTTACTATGAACATTATTAATATACGTGACATTATATTGGATATTACAATAGTAACTGTCGTGCTGTAATAGCTTTGCAGTGGTCACAGCTTCTTTCCCCCTACTTCTTGCACCAGAGAGAGAAGTGTAAATGCTTAAGTCTCAGAAGGGAGGATTTAGTTTGGTCCTTGGCTCCTTCGTCCCTTTTTATGCCAATTAAAGCCATTTAAAAAGTTTTACAGCACCTTACAGAAAGCTGGTGTTGTGTCAGCTGTCAGCATGAATGTTTCAGGTTTCTGCTGATAATATCAGCTGAAGCAAAGCTCTTCCTATGCCATTGTGATAACAGCTCTTGATCAAAGGGCATTCACAGTTGCAGTGGATTTTTTTCTCTTTTTTTTTTTTTTTTTTTAAAGGGAGGAAAAAAGCGTGTGATAATAAAAACATCATTGACCTGTGTAGGATTCGGGTGTCTGAAGTTCAGAGAAGACTTCTGATTTTATGTGGGAAGTGAAAAGGGCTGTGAGGAACCTCAGGAGGACGCAAGGAGACTGATGGACCAAACGCTGACACTTAAACGTATACAGCACAGTGCAAATGACAGGGAGAAGAATGTCAGAATGACGGTTAGTTTTACCATTCTGTTAAAATCTCCTAAGTTGCTTTAACATTTACCTCTGGCTAAACCTTCACCTGTGCTGCCTCCCCTTTCTCATATATTCGTTAGACTGATTAATTGGTGCTTTTCAACTTCTACCTTGCTGCACCGTCTGGTATTACACCTGAATATGCATTGCAGAGCTTTACATTTATGAAACCAGCATAGTTCCACGAAGGGGAATTTTTATATACTGTATGTGTCTTATGTTTTCAGATACCTTTAAGCAGAACATTGATATTAACGCCATTTATTTACTGTAAAATAAAGTCTGTGTTGTAAAAGAGGAAGAAAAATCCTCATTCTCTAAAGGTTAATAACTCACTGTTGTTTGCTAAACAGAATATAGTCTGTGCAGTATCACTCTGCAGTAACATGCACTTGTCTGCCTTAAAAATGTACAATGAACAAAAAAATGAACAAATAACAAGGCAAGAGTTGCCTGTTACAAGGTTTTATGGCTGTCGTCTTAGTCTTCTGAACAGTTGTATAGAATATCCTGTACAATGTCTAAGAAAGCATGCTATTTGCCAGATCGTGTAATTTCATATACTTCTAATCAGCATCTCCGACGTCTCTTGACATCTTGAATAGTTGACTTGTGCTAAATGGCCAAGTAACGTAGACATACGGGGAGTAATCTTATTAGTAAAGTCAACAGTGTCTGTGTTCTGAATTACTGAATATAAGCTGAGTCCTGAAGGCATATGAGCTGCTTCATGAACTTCCATGATGGGGTTAGAGCAGACAAGCCTATCCGTACTGCTGCCCAGTCCCATTTATTGTGTGATTTTTCTAGAAAAGCAACTCCATACCTGAATGACCACTGTATTTTTCTCATAGTTTGTTCTGTTTCAAGTATTAGGGACAGGTCAATAGCTGACTGCTTTTTATTTGTTTTGTTCTGGAGATAAGCTCACATGAATGCATCCCGAAATGAAAAATACCAAGTGTGACGGGACATTCCAGTCTTGGTAAGAAATGCAGTGCTAGTTGGGAGGAAGAAGTCTCTTGTCAGAGAGTTGAGACTGAAACAATCAGAATTACAAACAAGGCTGTTTTCTGTATGGTTCCTTTTTATTTTAGCTTAAGTCTATTAAAGTGCTTGGGAATAAAAGCTTCCCAAGGTATTATCTCTTCAAACAAAGTCAGTTTGGCCTCTTTGCTATACTCATGCAGAATAACTTTTTCTCCTGTGTTGCAGTGAAAAGGAGTTGCTGTAAAGCTATGGTTAGCAGTTATGAAATCTGAAGAATCTGCTTTTCACTTCAAATCTATAGGTCTAGACTTCTAGCTGGAAAGGCGTAATAAATCTCGCAGCAGTCATTTAGGACTGTCCTCCCCTAAGGTATTTGTTCCTTGTCTTTTGGCATCAGCCTGACAATGATGGCCTATTTGTATTTGGGAACTGGAGTTACAGAGATGCAGGCACACACTTCTCCTTCTGTCATGGAAAGGCAGAGCAGCAGAGCAGGCATGTAGGACCTACAAGGGCTTGGACTAGTAATGTTGTTTGCTCAGTCCATGTGAGCTGGATAAAATGAAATTGAAAGCTGTGGCTTTAGTGTTAACTACTACAGGCACTTGTAGACTCAAGCAGTATGTCCAGAAAGTGAGAACCTCTTACTGTAATGAGGTATTGATTCTGGAATCAAGGCACAGCCATACCGCCTGATTGCAGTCAATTACTTGAGCAGACTATCCTAAAATGTGCTTACCCTATAATTTTCACCCCCTACTCTTCCCAACTTCCATTGCCTGTGTAGGGCTTGCACTGAATGCATCCATAACTAATATGCTTTATTGCAACTTCTGACATCTATTTTTATGCCCCTCTCTTCCGTATCAGCAGTTACACTGTTCTGATAAGCACCGTTTCGCTTCAGTAGCGTAACGCATTATCTCAGAACCGTGCCCCTGGGTTTGGGCTGAGCTCAGTGTGAGTCAGTGTTTTAAGTGCTGGTCCCCAATGTGGATAGACACACATACATATTTTTAATCTCAAAGTCGATATTTGGCTGTTTATCTTGCTCCTGATAGTGAAGATGCTCTATTTCAGGAATTATGCCACAGTAACGGTGATGCCAGTGAAGATGTACATAACCTCAGCAAAGAGCTCTTGGATGGCACTGATAGTGCAGCGAGAGTGCCTGGTGCTAAGAGGGTTTTGTGCAGAAATGCTGAGGACATGGGCAGAGGAAAAGGGCAAACAGGGATGATTGTCCACAGCCCTGGCTAGCTTGTCGTGTGGTGAAGGAACCCAGTCTTCAAAACCTATTTTCCACTACCCCTTCCTTTGCAAAATGCTGGAAGTGACAAATGACCATGCACTGGGACATTAAGGTGGGGGAACACCGGGTGTTTTCAGAGCTGTGTAAGCAGCTGTGGATCATTGCTCTTGCTTGATGGCACAGGAGCACCACACACCGTCAGCATTTCTCTTGGCTCTTCCCCTCTCACTTAGCACAAAAGGTCACCTTTTTAACTTTCTGCCTAAAGACTTTGGGTCACGGCTGACATCCCATAAACATGGCTGACAAATTTTTGCCAGCTGCGGCTACAAGCGACCGAGTTTTGAGGGACAAGCGAGCCTGCCTCAGGTTGGCTTGGGAGTTATTCATCAGTACCGGTCAGAGGCAGTGCTTCATCAGTCGGTCTTTACCACAGCCCTCTTAAAATTTTAACATATATATATTTTTGAAAACTTGACACTCATTTTTATCATCCTAATGCGTATTTTTATGGAACATATCCCCTCAGAGAGGGCTTTACCGCTCCCCTCACGACGCTGAGGGAGCCACCCCACCTCCCCACCGCGCATGCGCCGCCCTCCGCGGGCTTCCCCCTTGGCGCCTCCTCCTCCCCCTGCGCCATGACGCCGCCGCCGCCGCGGTGACGCCTGACGCTCCCCCTCCGCCTTCCACCGGCGGCGTCACGGGCCCGGCGGCGGGAGGCGGGGCCTTGGCTCGGCAGCGGCGGCGGCCGCCGGCGCCTGACGCCCGCCGGGACCCCCCCCCCGCCTCCCTCCCTGCCTCAGCGCCCCCCCCACAGCCGTTATCCCCCCCCCCCCTTCCTTCCCCTCATCGCTCTTCGCCGCCTCCCGCCCCGCTCGGGCAGGCCCCGGGGCCGCTTCTCTCCCCCCCCCCCTCCGCCGCGGCCCCGGGGGGGGGCGGGCTCCCGGCAGGGCTCCCCTCAGGGCCGCCCTCTCTCGGGGGGGGCTCCGCCGCCACACAGGTTGGGCCCGGCCGGGGAAAGGAGGTGGGTGGGGGGGGTTGGGAAAGCGCTGAGGCGGCCCCGGTGGCGCTGAGGGGGGGTTGGGGGGGTTAAATGTGTGTGTGGGGGTGTGAGGTGGATGTGGGGGTGGTTTTTTGTTTGTTTTTTTTTCCCCTTTTTGGGTTTTTTGGGCGCGCTGAGGTCGCCGGGTTGGGGGGGGGTGGGGTTCTGCTGAGGGTGCGGGGTTGGGCTCAGGGCTGTGCGGTGGCTCAGGGCCCTCTGAGGGGGGGGGGGTGGGATGGGGATGGGGAGGGGGTGGCAGCAGCACCTGCTTGGCTCCCCGCAGTAACTGCGGGGCTGGCTTGTGACGGGTTTGGCCTCCGTTAAACAATGCAGAGCGCTGCGGTGGGGCCAGGAGGCCCTGGAAACGTGCTGCCGGGGCTGTGGCGAGGAGTGGGCATCGCCAGGCTGGCCCGTGGCGTAGCGCTTATTAGCAGAATGCTAAGGAAGTGTGCTTCCAGCTGGCATCCCCTCACGGCTGGCTTTAAGGGAGTGGGCAGTGGTGTTTACGTGGTGTTGCAAGACCTTAGAAGAATCCCCTTGCGTTTATTTTTCTCTTATCTTATGGCTAAACCCTTCCTTGTCTTTGGAGAATAGCAGCAATACTGCACGAGGATTCTTCCTTTCATGCCTACAGTGGCTTTCTTAATATCTCCTCCAAAAATATTCAAAGGTGACAACTTATTATAATTCTGGTTCTCTTCACACTTTGTGTTCATTCGCGATTGCCACCACCGAGCGTGGTTATTGATTCAGATAACGAGGCTGTATGTAATTAGCTTGATGTTTTTCAAGGTTTCGCTGCATTTGATAAACGAGAATAGCAAAGTATTATTTGTCAAACTGACTCATTGCTGGAGAAAAATCTGTGCACGGCTCATCTTGATGAGCAGGCAGGCAGCCTTGATGAACTGTCAGCAGTTTACCTGACGTTAAGGGAAGGCTATGGTGAAGAAAACAGATGTTTCCAAATTGCTTGTCTTGGCTTGCTGGGATTTGTAAGCTGTCAGAGGAAACTTTTTCTAAGGCAGCCTTGGTGTCTGGGAATCCTGAGAGCTGTCCTAGGGTGTGTGAATAGGCAGATATCTGTGACAGGTAGATTTTTAAATTATTTTTTAGCGTAGTGTAACAAGAGCGCTGTTTTGTTGTATAATGTTTAGTATCGTGGTAGGGAAGATCTTACATAATATTTATTTATTTGCTTTGTGCTGATTAAACTCTAGATACTTCATAGCAAAAACCACCTTTCAAATGTGGTCACAGATCCATCGGTGGTTCTGTGCTGTGGTTCCTGGGAAAGCTGGTCAGTGCACAGACTCGTAGAAATTACAGCTGCCTGAGGCTAGATGGGGAAGGCTTTGGGTTTATTACAACCATAAAGATACAGTTTTATTCTGGAGAAAGCAAGAAAATTAGTCATGCTCTAGATTTAATTCACAGATGTTGTTTTGACTTTGTGTTGTTGTTGTTTTTTTTTTTTTCTTACAGTTTCCTAAAGTCCAGTGTTAACATTTAGGTACAAATTGGGTTTAAAAAAAAAAAGTCACTACTGAGTATTTATGGAGCACTTAATAAAAAAAAAAAAGCTTTGTATATTAGCAACCTGGATTTCAGCCTTTGTCTTTCATCTGTATTATCTTTACTGCAGGCTCAATTTTTATATTAGCAAACTAAGTCAAAAGTAGCAAATATCATGTTTATCATGTTCATGTTCAACAAATATCAATAATTTTCGCTACATGTTTTTTATTGGCTCCTGAGCAGTCTCTAGACTGACAATAATGTTTCCTTATAAACTGCTACATCAGAAGGATCAAAGGGTGATTTCCCCCACTGTCTCCAAACACACATTCAAATGTGTTCTGATATGTGAAGATGTATGTGTTTGGTGTAGAGTTAAGAACGTTTTTTTTGTTCTGTTTTTAATAATTTCTTTTTAGATTTTTGCTCTTATCATTATCCTAGGTACAGATGAGGGTTTGGAGAATAATGAATGAAGAATAAAAATGTGACCAATGTAGTTAATTACATTTTGTTACTTTTGAAGAACTTCGTTTCATACATGTGATGAACCTCGGTAGAGTAGCAAGTTAATAACAATATTTTTATTATTTAACATGTAAACAATTAAGTTTGCTGTCCTGAAAGTTAAGCTTTTGAGATTCAGAAGTAGAGCTGACACAGTATTGCATTAAAAATATCTTGGTGACATTCTGTTAACCCCACTAATTTCTCCTTGGGAACGAAGAAAAATGCATTTTATTTTTTTTTTCCACAACTGCAAATACTCCATTTGCTATTTCAATGTTCTGGTATTTTGTAGTGTTTAGGAATAGGTCAAAATAGGTCACGCATGTTATAGTTGCACTTGTGTTGCAAAATAACATTGTAAACATGTAATTGGGTTCTGGGAACAGCATTCAGCCTGCAGTGTGTGTTAGCTGTGATTCTTACTTCTGGATCTCAGCGTGAGATTTTGATTTAGTAATTCATGAATACAGACAGATGTAGCATGTGGATGTGTGTTAGCCTCATTTCTTGCTCTGAACGTATATGTTTGCAGATTTTTTCTGGGATGTTTGAATTGTATTCACCTTAACTGTATTTTCGGAGCAGCTGCAGCAGTTCTGGTACCAGCGAGGAGAGGAGAGGTGTTCTGTGTTAGAATAGCGCACCGGCTTCCCATCAGTGGGAGCCACTGCTCCAGAGACACTTAACCCACAAATGCACGTACGGCATAGCTTGGAGCCCAGCTTAATGAGGTCATTTGAAGTTGGTCTTCCTTGAGCAAGGCCCAAGCAGGGTTGTCTGCAGTGTGCTTTAAGAACTGACAGTCAAGAATTGCTAATGGAGGCAGGCTGGTGGAGCTCTGACTTTTTCCTGTCCATTGGCAAAGTCTCTCACTTGTATTTACTTCCATGTCTCATATGATTATGTATTCTTGAAGTTATCTTGGCCATCTGTAACTTATTTTTTCATTTGAGAGCAAAATCATTTCTTTAGGCTGAAGCTTTTTCGTTGCTGTAGCTTTGTTTTCAGCCCGTTTCCTCACCTCCCTCACTTCCTGGTCTTTCCTCACTCACTTCTCTTTCTGTATGTCCATTCAGTCATTTATTTGTCTGCTTATGCGGCTCACCTGCCGTAGTAAAAGATGCTGCTTCTGTGTTCCCGGAATATTTTCTGCTAAGCATAGTAACGGTTCAAAACAGCAGTGCTTGCAGTTACAGAATTCAAATGCTTCAGATGCTGAAGTTGCAGAGACTGTAATTCTGAAGCTCAGGTACAATAACGCTGATAAATGGTTTGCATTTCAATAATAACAGGACAGATGTGTAAGAAAGGAAGGGATTTCATGGGGTTGCTCCCTGCTCTGAGGCAGAAGTAAATACATTGAAGTTGTATCTGGCATATGCTTGTCTAATCTGTTCTTAAAAAGCTTCAACGAGGGGAACACCACACCTTTGCTGGTCTGTTTATAGCTAGTGCATAGCTGTCGTTATAGTTCGGAGGGTTTTCTTAATATTTAACTTGGGTATCTGTCTTGACACTCGTTAAGCCAGTTAGTTCTTGTCTCACTATTATTACTCATGCCGGATAATGATTTCTGTACTGTTTGTCCCAGCCATGTGTAGACGTGAAGACTGTTCCTCTGTCTCTTACTTCTGACTTCTCTTTACTAAACTATGCAAAGAGGCCTTTGCTTCACAGGCCATGTTTTCTCAGGTTTTGTTGTGTTTTTGTTGTCATCAACTCCCGCTGGACTCTGTCTGATTTGTCTGCAGATTTTTCAGAGTTCCCCAGCCAAAGTCTGACCACAACAGAATAATTAACTTACTTCTGCTGTAATTCACAGAGTAACGTATGACAGCCCTATTAAAATGTAATTCCTGTGTGCATGCACCCATATAATTTTGTTGCTTTTTTTTCCTCAACAACATCAGGTTCTTGGCTCCCATGTTTGTTAACACAGGAGCTTGTGTTAGTATTTGTTGAATCGGGTACCTTGAACAAAAAGAATAGAACCTTTTGGTGTGTTTAATTTAATCTGTATTTCAGGTTAGTTTTCTGTTACGAACTATTACCAGACTCCCCAGAAGCAGGGATCAGTTCTGCAGGAAAGAGGGCAGTTTCTGCTCTTCCTCCTCTATTTCCCAGCACACACAGTCCCTGTGTTTTTTGAGTGTACGTCTTGTCTGCAATGGGAAACCTGACAGAGTATGTTCTTCTGGGGTTTGAAGTAGCTTCCATTGGCAAAAATGTGTCTTAACCAGTCTATTCTCATATGTTACGACGTTGAAGTGGTCCTGTTGGTGAGATGACTTGTGTCAGTGCAGCCATACCTGAGCAAGCCTCCTTCCTCTTGGAGATGTTGTTGCCCTCTCACAGTCCAGTGACAAAGCAGAAGAAATGTAGGTGGGCTTTTCTGGAAGACTTGCGGAGTCAGCTAGCAAACAGCTGTGTTCAACATGCTTCCTGGCTTTACTCCAGTTTATCCCACTTGTTATGTAAATAATTTTATCCATAACTTTTCAGGGTAGATCATAGGCGGGACAAACTGCAGGATTCTTTTAGCAGTGCTACTTTTGAAAAAAGGAAATAGCCATCAGTCGTCATCATTAGAGAAGGCCTTTGGTTTATTGCAGGAAGGCATGTTCCAGTAGTCAGTGGTGATTGACTCTTACCTGATCTCAAAAGGATTTTAAAGTAGTTCACACAAGAGTCTTGTACGTGCCAACAACTTTGAATGCCACGTTGCCAAAACTGTCACAATGGGAACTGTAGTGTCACCTTTAAACAAAGATTTGAAAATTGAAACATCTGTGTAAGTCCCTTGTTTGGATTTAAAAAAAAAAATAAAAAAAGAGTGAGAGGTAGAACGCTGATAAGCAGGAATTAAACCCCTAAAGAAAATCTTTAGAACAGAAGGTGTTCTATTGCAGAACGTGAGGACTGTCACCATGAATATTTTTGGCAAATACCATCTA